GAGACTGGCGCGGTGGACGCTCGTGACATGCGGAAACCGCCCGCGAGCGAGACTGGCGCGGTGACGCGTGACATGCGGAAACCGCCCGCGAGCGAGACTGGCGCGGTGGACGCTCGTGACATGCGGAAACCGCCCGCGAGCGAGACTGGCGTGGTGGACGCTCGGGACATGGGGAAACCGCCCGCGAGCGAGACTGGCGCGGTGGACGCTCGTGACATGCGGAAACCGCCCGCGAGCGAGACTGGCGCGGTGGACGCTCGTGACATGCGGAAACCGCCCGCGAGCGAGACTGGCGCGGTGGACGCTCGTGACATGCGGAAACCGCCCGCGAGCGAGACTGGCGCGGTGGACGCTCGTGACATGCGGAAACCGCCCGCGAGCGAGACTGGCGCGGTGGACGCTCGTGACATGCGGAAACCGCCCGCGAGCGAGACTGGCGCGGTGGACGCTCGTGACATGCGGAAACCGCCCGCGAGCGAGACTGGCGCGGTGGACGCTCGTGACATGCGGAAACCGCCCGCGAGCGAGACTGGCGCGGTGGACGCTCGTGACATGCGGAAACCGCCCGCGAGCGAGACTGGCGCGGTGGACGCTCGTGACATGCGGAAACCGCCCGCGAGCGAGACTGGCGCGGTGGACGCTCGTGACATGCGGAAACCGCCCGCGAGCGAGACTGGCGCGGTGGACGCTCGTGACATGCGGAAACCGCCCGCGAGCGAGACTGGCGCGGTGGACGCTCGTGACATGCGGAAACCGCCCGCGAGCGAGACTGGCGCGGTGGACGCTCGTGACATGCGGAAACCGCCCGCGAGCGAGACTGGCGCGGTGGACGCTCGTGACATGCGGAAACCGCCCGCGAGCGAGACTGGCGCGGTGGACGCTCGTGACATGCGGAAACCGCCCGCGAGCGAGACTGGCGCGGTGGACGCTCGTGACATGCGGAAACCGCCCGCGAGCGAGACTGGCGCGGTGGACGCTCGTGACATGCGGAAACCGCCCGCAAGCGAGACTGGCGCGGTGGACGCTCCTGACATGCGGAAACCGCCCGCGAGCGAGACTGGCGCGGTGGACGCTCGTGACATGCGGAAACCGCCCGCGAGCGAGACTGGCGCGGTGGATGCTCGTGACATGCGGAAACCGCCCGCGAGCGAGACTGGCGTGGTGGACGCTCGTGACATGCGGAATTCCGCCCGCGAGCGAGACTGGCGCGGTGGACGCTCGTGACATAAAGGAAACCGCCCGTGGGCGAGACTGGCGCGGTGGACGCTCGTGACATGCGGAAACCGCCCGCGAGCGAGACTGGCGCGGTGGACGCTCGTGACATGCGGAAACCGCCCGTGAGCGAGACTGGCGCGGTGGACGCTCGTGACATGCGGAAACCGCCCGCGAGCGAGACTGGCGCGGTGGACGCTCGTGACATGCGGAAACCGCCCGCGAGCGAGACTGGCGCGGTGGACGCTCGTGACATGCGGAAACCGCCCGCGAGCGAGACTGGCGCGGTGGACGCTCGTGACATGCGGAAACCGCCCGCGAGCGAGACTGGCGCGGTGGACGCTCGTGACATGCGAAACCGAGCGAGACTGGCGCCGCTCGTGACATGCGGAAACCGCACGAGCGAGACTGGCGCGGTGGACGCTCGTGACATGCGGAAACCGCCCGCGAGCGAGACTGGCGCGGTGGACGCTCGTGACATGCGGAAACCGCCCGCGAGCGAGACTGGCGCGGTGGACGCTCGTGACATGCGGAAACCGCCCGCGAGCGAGACTGGCGCGGTGGACGCTCGTGACATGCGGAAACCGCCCGCGAGCGAGACTGGCGCGGTGGACGCTCGTGACATGCGGAAACCGCCCGCGAGCGAGACTGGCGCGGTGGACGCTCGTGACATGCGGAAACCGCCCGCGAGCGAGACTGGCGCGGTGGACGCTCGTGACATGCGGAAACCGCCCGCGAGCGAGACTGGCGCGGTGGACGCTCGTGACATGCGGAAACCGCCCGCGAGCGAGACTGGCGCGGTGGACGCTCGTGACATGCGGAAACCGCCCGCGAGCGAGACTGGCGCGGTGGACGCTCCGCCCGCGAGCGAGACTGGCGCGGTGGACGGCTCGTGACATGCGGAGCCCGGCGAGACTCCGGTATGTGAACAGCCCGGCGCTCCAGGTACGCCATAATGTTTTTTGCCGCACACCTGACCCGAACAAATGGCGCCAATGTGTTTCTAGGACGAACCCTCTCTTCAGAAGCTGTAGCCTCTTGGGGTTCGCCCTACTTATTTGGAAGCAGCCTGGAAGCACGTTGACATGAATATGCTGAGCACACTCGGCCCAAACAAAAGGGCGCATGAACATCCCAACAGCTGACCCCGGTCTACACTGTGTCTCAGACTTGTTCCGACAGGCGTCAGACCCACCAAGTGACCGAGGCTTGTCCACACCGAGCCCCCCGCAAAAGCGCAGCGCCGGCCCCGTCTCCACACAATCCACCCAACTTGCCATCAACACGCATCCAATTGACAACGTGCGCGGCCCTTTCCACAAAGTCACCAGTTGCAATTGGTTGCAAATGGGAAAACAGGTGGAGAAACTAACGAATCCAAGCAAGCTTACGAAGCAAGTTTGTGAAGGCCACGTGCACGGCTCCATGTGAACAGCCCGGCGTTCCAGGTGCGCCAACATTGTCATTTTTGCCGCACACCTGACCCGAACAAATGGCGCCAATGTGTTTCTAGGACGAACCCTCACTTCAGAAGCTGTAGCCTCTTGGGGTTCGCCCTACTTATTTGGAAGCAGCCTGGAAGCACGTTGACATGAATATGCTGAGCACACTCGGCCCAAACAAAAGGGCGCATGAACATCCCAACAGCTGACCCCGGTCTACGCAGATCGTGGTAACACTGTGTCTCAGACTTGTTTCAGACAGGCGTCAGACCCACCAAGTGACCGAGGCTTGTCCACACCGAGCCCCCCGCAAAAAGCGCAGCGCCGGCCCCGTCTCCACACACCTGCGGCAAATCCACCCAACTTGCCACCCACACGCATCCAATTGACAACGTGCGCGGCCCTTTCCACAAAGTCACCAGTTGCAATTGGTTGCGAATGGGAAAATAGGTGGAGAAACTAACGAATCCAAGCAAGCTTACGAAGCAAGTTTGTGAAGGCCACGTGCACGGCTCCATGTGAACAGCCCGGCGTTCCAGGTGCGCCAAGATTGTCCTTTTTGCCGCACACCTGACCCGAACAAATGGAGCCAATGTGTTTCTAGGACGAACCCTCTCTTCAGAGTCTGTGGCCTCTTGAATTTCGCCGTACTTATTTGGAAGCAGCCTGGAAGCACGTTGACATGAATATGCTGAGCACACTCGGCCCAAACAAAAGGGCGCATGAACATCCGAACAGCTGACCCCGGTCTACTCAGATCGTGTTGTAACACTGTGTCTCAGACTTGTTTCAGATGGGTGTAGAGCGAGCTTATGCCTTGCTTCCAATTTGGGAGTGGTAGTTTGTGCGGATCCATTTTCGGATTTCTGCGATTGGTTCTTCATGATGAATCGGATGACTTCGTGCCTTCCATGTAGTGCGGGGCCTGTCATGTTTCACCCGTGCCTTTGCCTTTTTCTCTGTGCTTGGTCAGAGCACAGGCTGCTGGCTGTCAATCCGGCTTGAGTCGCGGTTGCTCCCCTTCTTCATCTGTTTTGGGGTTGATTTCCCAACTGTGAACAACTTAAATCTTGGTTTGCCTTCGGACCCTTGAGCCGGAAAACAACGGGATCCACATGCCATGGGGTGGGTTCCCGGGCTCTCTTGTTTTTCGGTCGGCGCCGAGGCCGAGACTTCATCACCACCGTCCGGGATCTGGTCTACAACTGCGCCGGGCACCTGGCGCTCTCGTGCGCGTTTTTACGTCACTTCGGCGTCGGGGTGAGATGAGTTGGCCATGGGTCAACACCGTTTTGGGATCCCACTTTGGGGTAGGTGAATTCACCACCCATTTTAGAACCTATCTTGGTGGTTGGATTGGGATGTTCACTGGGGGTACAGGGTTTTGACCCACAGCCAGTTCTCTGCGCCTCTCCAGAGGATGAAATCGAGAAGTCCAGCGGAAAGCACGGCTCTCAGTCCTTGGCTGAAGCTGCTGAAAAGAGCACGGATGCCTTGAAAACCCATCAAGTCCTAGCAGCGAGTAGGGAGCAGCGTGTGAAGTTGTACCAGTCTTCAGCCTCTGAGTTTCATACTGTGGATGGGCGAAATCCATTTCGCACCACTGCAGAAACCTTGGAAGAATGATTTCCCCTGTAAATGCCAACGCAGAATGGTTTCAACCATGGTTTCATTTTGTGGTGCGAAATGGCCAGGGGGCATAACCTATGGCTCGATTTTGGGGTGGATGAACATCCATTTGCCAGCTATTTTGATGTTCACCAGGGGTTTCCTGGGTTTTGACCCACAGCCAAACGGGATTTCGTCCACCGTATGTCACAGAAAACGACGCAGTGACTCGGAGACTCCAGGCCATTCTGGACCGGGACCAAGCGCCGGCCCGTTGAGGCGCTCCATCCGCTCAGCCCTGGCTGTTTCCTCGCTCGCTTCTTTTGGGCTTTGGCTGTGAAGGCTTTGGATACGAAGATCCAGTTGGATACAAAGGAATTACGAGACGCAAAGTGGCTTGATGCCAGCTATGTGCGGGACTGCTTTCTACCTGCATATGAGTCAGCGGCAGAGGAGCGGTTTCACATTCCATGACGTACATGAGCTGCTTGGCTTGAGTGCATGTTTTCCCATTCTTTTGGCCCGTTCGGAACCAGGCGCCCCGGAAACAGCAGCGGAGGGTTCATTCAGACCGGCGAATCCCCCTGCTTTTTCTTTTGCGCATCTACAGCAACCTGGGCCACGGCCGCAACATGGGCCCACAACGGGATGAAAACTGTCGTGAGCCCAAAGCAACACGAACATCTGAGACAGCTGCCACAGGCCAAATGGGATCCTGCGAATCCCCCGGCAGAAGCCATGGAGTGAGCCAGCTGAGGGGATCAACTTGCAGCACCTAGAAACATGGACGGGCACATCACAGACCCCTTTGGTTTGCTTTTTGATTGAAGAAGCGGCGTTTCCACTTCCGTGTTTGTTTTGGGGCAGAGTAAGTGTTTGTTGGCTTGAATTGAAGTGCCGGAGCGAGAGGGATCAAGAGCAGTCAGGTACCTGTACGCCACCGCAAATTGCTACGCCTTCATGTGGAAGGCCTGGCTGCGCTCTTAGGAAGAGTTTAAGGGTTTGTTTTGAGATATGTCCTCATTGACAGCTTGGTTTTGCAGACAAAAAACCACTTGCAGTTGAACAAATGTCTGGCATCTATTGGACCAGGAGTCTATTTGTTTTGTTTCTCTAGGGACTGATTCCCCTTCTTTTTCAACCATCGTTCTTTTCCAAAACCAGGCGTTTTTTCTGGGTTTCTGAGGGGTTCTAAGATCCGGATCCCTGGGTTTAGAATGGGGAAGGTACCCGTAGAGTTTCGGGAGCATGTAGAGCCCGAAGGTTTTCCCCACAGCCGGGCGCCAGGTGCCCTTCGTGCGGAATCGGCAGATCTTCCACCATCGGGTGCAGGAGCTGAAGCTGCAGGCGGATGCGACAGCCAGAAGTGGCCCAGACGTGGCTGTGGGTCAACCATGGGTACCCATGTTGGGAACCCTGGTAAATGGAACCCATGGACTAAAACAGGCCTTCCCCTGGTGGTTTCATTTTGACCCACACCCATGTCGATCTTTTGACTCGAGGCCAGTGCTCGGTTTTTTTTTTTTTGGACCAGATTTTCTGATCGTTTTTTAGCAAGGTCAACCTCTGAGGTGGTTTCTCGCAGAAAAAACGTGGCTCTTCTTGCCTTTTGGTCGGTGTGCGAGAGGCACATCTGCCTTGTCCGACACAGCCTATAGACACACCTCATAGATCGCCCGCTCCTGGCCATTCAGGTGCCTGCCTGGTCGCCTCCCAGCTCTGGCAAGGTGGAGACTGAGGCCAGTGGCGGCAAGCCTTCGTTCTGTTTTTGTGGGTCAATGAACCGTGTGGCTGGTTGTTAGCTCAAGGCATGTTTAGCTGTTTCATGCTTGTTGGTGTTTGGGCGGATGCAAATGAATCTGTGGCAGCTTGGAGCTCAAATCCAGGGGTGCCTTCCCCATTCTTTCCATCCTTCTTTCTAAAAAACCACCAAAAACCCTGGGGAAACAGCTGGTTTGAGAAGAGCGATGGTTGGAAAGACTGGGGAATCAACCCCTAGATAAGGAGGTTTTCGGTCTAGCCGTTAGGATCAAAGCCGCTGGCCGATGCTCCGAGCAGTTTGCCAGGAGGATGACGGTGAGCGGGTGGATCCTGCGGCCGTGGAGGCTTTGAAGGCGAGACGTGTGAGATGCATTTTTTTTTTTATTTTTTTTTTTTAAATATAACTACATAACTAAATAATTAACATGGCATCTTTTTTTTGGGGTTGGCGTGGTTGGCTTTAAATGGACACCGCAGGAAAGCGAGAATCTTTGGGGTCCCCTAAACAAGACACCCAGAGTAGAGGGTTGAAGCAGGATAAGACCCCTAGCTAAGACGCACAGTGGAAGCAGGCCGTGCGGGTTAAAGGAAACGCTCTCTGCGAACTTTTGATTTCGCGAGTCGCTAAGCCAGACGTGCACCTTGAGGCAGAGCTCTATGCTGTGGACCCCAAGAGCCTGCACGAGTGCGAGGCTGGGCAAATGGCTGTGGTGGTCAAAACTGTTTTGGGATCCCATTTTGGTCAGTAGGTGAATTCACCACCCATTTTAGAGCCTATTTTAGTGGTTGGATTGGGATGTTCACTGGGCACATGGCCAAATGGCTGTGGTTAGTTGGGTCCCAAAGACCATGGATCGAAGCAGAGGTTTAGACTGGAGTTCTACCCTCCCAGATGGAACCTGACAGGAGGGTCCTGGTTTGGACCGTTTTCCTTTTGGAAGGGACCGGGGTGCCGAAGGTATCCGAAGGTCAGGTTGAGCTTCGCTACCTTCAAATGTTGCTGATGCTTCATTCTTCCTGACACCGTGGGTCAAAATTAGACACCACCAGGGATTGGACCGCAGGTTATGGTCCATGTTTCCACTTGGCACGGCAACCTCTCTTTGGGATTCCCCTATGTTTGCCCCCACCCCTCACGTGGGCAACGGCTCAGACTTCTGGCCGTCATTTCCAGGCACATGACTTCGAGAAAGATGATGACACAAACTTCCACATCGACTTCCTCACGGTGCGGTGCTCAGTTCGCATTGTGTGGAATATCAAGGTCGGCAAGCGGAGGCATCCAGTTTTGGCATATGCAGAGCATTTGCTTTCGGACCTAGATGTTCTCTTGCAACAGTAGATGGCAATGGCACATGAGCAAACCCACCTGAAGCCAGTACCTTCAATCTTCGTTCACAGACTTCTCTCTAGCCAATTCTCAGGCATCTCTTATGCGAGCTTCCGGCTCTGAGGTTTCAACAAACCTGCGTGCCAGCAACTACGACATCAAGCACACGGAGCGATCAGCAGTGCGAAGCTGGGTATGTTCAGCATGTCCTTGCGGTCCTTGCAGTCAGTTCAGTGCAGTACCAACTTTCGAATCATGGGATGTCTTTGGACTTGCATGGCAAATCGATTCCGGCATGTTTCTACATTGCGCTGCGGATTCATGGGACCACCTCCCCTTGAAAACCGCAGGTTTGGTATTTCTTGCTCAGGTGAAAGTCACGGCCGGGCGCATCATCCCTGCGCTGGCGGCCATCTCAGAAGTGGCCGTGGGTCAAAAATAGGTACCCCAAATGGAACCCGGCAAGTGGAAACATGGACCAAAACCCGTGGCCCCCTCGTGGTTTAATTTTGACCCATACCCAAGTCTAAGTGGACGCTGGAATCTTGCAGAGTCAGCTTAGGCCACCACCACCGCCATGATCTGTGGCTTGGTGGACGTGGAGTTTCTGAAGCTGGTGATGGGGTCCAGGGCTCATGGCTTCATGGCCTCATGGGCTGAGACTCGCCAAAGTTGCACTAAAATGTGCATGTTGCAAGCTGAGGATGCACAAGGAAGAGGGCGCCTTGGACAAGTTCTACAACGCCAATATCAATTTGGCCACCGGGCTCCAGGCAAGGATCAGGATGCAAGGATCGCGTGGACATGATCTTTTTGTCGTCGACACCGAGCTGCGCAGGCCATGAACCTCTTTAGACCAGAGCGGACAACTCAGAGCTTCTCATGCCAAAGTCTGCCAGATCTGCTCGGCATAGGCCAGCAATCATCCGGAAGACGGACTTGCCGGCAGCATGCTCAGAGATCTCAGAAGGAGCTTGCCCTTGATCGAAGGAAGTGGGCCCTCTCTGCCACGCAGAGACTAGGTTGCCGAACTGGGTTGAAAGAGCGGAGTCCGCGGACTGAAGCATTTTGATCAACTGAGGGCTCGGTGGCTGAGTTTACCTCATGGGACAAGGCGGGCAGCCATGTTCAATGCAGTAATTACCCGGAATGGGTGATCTTTGCCATAGAGATGGCCATGGGTCAAAACCCAAATCGTACCCCCCAGTGAACATCCCAATCCCCAAGAAGACTAAAATGGGTGGTGCACCTACCCAAAATGGTACCATCGCATGGGGACGGGGCTTTCTCGGGGTACAAGATCCAAACCTGCGCTCTGCACCTCAGAGCCTCTGGAAGGTCGAGATCGACGGGGAGATCACCTTAGAGGACCGGCCGCTGGTTCGCGGGGCATCTTTTGGGAGCTCTGGGGCTGCAACAAAGGCATTTTTTTTGTTCATCGTTTGGATGACTGACAACAAATATTGCTGCATATGCTGTGATCGAATGTCAAACATGAAGATCGCACAGTCACAATCGTGGCGAATGCTGGAAAGCATGGATCGTGTTCCGACACAAACACACCGAAGTGATGCTGAAGAGCCATAGGATGCAAAAGTGTTGCCTTCCAACGCAGTCCGAGCTTGTTGGCACAGCTTCCCAGCACGCTGGGGCATGCTCCAGCTGAACATTTGCTTGCCACGTGTGGCTGCCAACAGGGCAACAGAGTGGCAGCCCCTCTTGTGTACAAAATCACACACACACACACACACACATGAGCACGTGAGCACATGAGCACACACCTGCATAGCACAGAGACCCCCTTCCTGTTTCTGCAGAGGTAGTTGTTGGATGGGTTTGAACGGTTGGAGGCGTTGTCCCAACCATAGAAGTTGCGAGGAGCTGGCTTGTAGATGGCAGGACCCAAAAAAGGCGCAGGGCGTGACAAGAAAAAGGCCCCGCTCGGGTGGTTTGGCGGCAAGTGGTTTCTGGTGCGGGACTACTGTGTCCTGGACGCCCCCAGCGAGGCGGCCAAGGCATTTGTGGCTGGCGGTGCAGCAGGGGCCCTGTCCAAGACAGTGGTGGCCCCAGTGGAGCGTGTGAAGCTGCTCACGCAACTCGAGGGTTGCAATGCAGCGGGAGCGCCCAGAAGCATCGCAGCCATTGCGAAGGATGTGTGGCGTCTCGAGGGCTGGCGTGGATTCTGGAGGGGCAATGGCCCCACCGTGCTTCGAGTGGTGCCCAACAAGGGCATCCTCTTCATGTGCAACGATTACTATGTGTCTCTGTTGACGTCTGATGGCGACATCTCCATGGCCGGCCGTTTTATTGCGGGCAGCATGTCAGGGGCGACCTCTGTGACCTTCACATACCCACTGGAGATGCTGCAGGCTAGGTTGGGAAGCAGCAGCCGCTATGCTGGCATTCGTGACTGCCTTCAGCGCACCTGGGGTGGTGAGGGCCCCAGGGCCTTTTACCGAGGCTACACTGCCAGCCTGCTGGGGATTATCCCATACACCGGCAGTCAGTTCTTCCTCTACGAAGGTGGCAAGCGCTTGCTGCGCAGGTTCCATGCCAAGAGGAACCGTTGCGAAGAGGTTCCCTTGCCAGTCTGGGAGAAGTTCCTAGTGGGCGCCGCTTCTGGGAAGTGTGCACAAGCCTGTTCATACCCCATGGACACGGTGAGACGGCGGCTGCAGGTTGGATCTGCGGTTGCGTTCCACGGGCCCTGGGACTGTTGCAAAAGCATCTGGCGGAGCGAAGGCTTGTTGGGATTCTACCGCGGAATGAGTCTGAACGCCTTCAGGGCCATGCCCAGCCAGGGCGTGCAGTTTGCCGCATACGAAGTCTTTAAAGATCTCTTTGGCATCCGCATCGAGCGCCCGGTCCATTGATGTTCCCAGACCCAGTCCAAAGGCTGACTGAGAGACTCCTGATGAGCTCGAAGCTTGGGAGCATCCGCGAGCAGTGGGGCAAGAAGCCGAGCTTGATCACACACACGGGCGACGTTCAAAGTTGGAATTTCTATGTCTCAACACTAAAAATAGAGCAAAGAGCATCTATGTCATTAACAACCAGCAAATGATATCCTCCTGGTTCCTGCGAGCTGTACCCATTCGAAGGTTTTTGTGCATCCTGTTTCGGAGTTGGGTACGCTTTGGTTTTGTTTTAAAGGGACCACCAAATTGGTTCCCTGCGGCGTGGCAGAGGAGCTGGTGCAGCAGCTCGAGGCGAAGCTCGGGGGCCGCGTCTTGCGACTCCACCCCTCCGGCAATGACAAGGCGAGTGGAGGGTTTGGGACGGGCGGTTTGAGGGGAGGAGCTGGTGGAAAGGGGAGGTGGTAAAGGAGCTTGGGGTATCCAAACGAGGAGCTTACAGGAGCTGGTGGTAGGGGAGGAGTTCGTTTGGGTCTCCAAACGAGCTACCAGGCTCCAGTCCTGTAAGGACATGGCAGTTTGGGTGTACTTAAAGGAGCAGGGTACTTGGTAAGTGAGGAATAGCCATGAGTTATAACCCACAAAGGCCATGGGTACAAGTCTCTTAAGTGGGGCATAACCAGGCTTACTAACCACTTATCAAACACCTTGCCCCTTTAAGTAGGGTTCTCTACGGATTCTTAGGGTTGTTTAGCGAGCCTTTAAGAACCCCTTTTCCTTCAACCACCCCTTAGGAACTCCATAAAAGCAGTTTAAACATCAAGGCACTGGGGTGGTTGACCGAAAAGGTCCGAACATGGGATCATTGGTCATGAGAAAAGTTGCAGAAAGGTCATTTGGGGACCGAAGGGAATATTGATCCACCCCACATAGCAAGTCGGGCGGTGTTTCAAGTCATCTCATCGGGTCTTCTTGTTTTGTTTTCCGCAAGGAGCAGAGGGGAAATCACAGCACCCAATCTCCTTGAGCCGCTTCTTGCCTTTTTCCTGTTGCCTGGGTTTAGCATCAACAACCAACGTGCAACCTTGGGACTGCAGAGCCTAGCAGCGCTCGGCAGCGGCAAGCCGTCCTTTCGCGCTGAGGTGAGCGTCTACGACAGTGCCCAGGCGAAGATGCTCTCCTGGAAGATCGAGCTGCAAGAGGGCAAGGCCCCGACTTGACTCATGCCCTGTACCTTTTGCTTCCAAAAACATCGGGAACCCTTTTTCGCTTGGGAGCCAAAGATAGATCAACCCAAAAATTTCAAGTCCGCGCCACCAAATAAGCATCTGAGTCATATAAGCCTATTGTTGAGCACTCCCGCGAGAAAAGTGGCACCTCATGTCACCGCCGTCTAGGCAGTCATTGAGCCCGACGAGGTCTTCGCAACATGGCCTCAGTTGAAGATGGCCGTGGGGCGCCCAGATGTCAAGGGCCAAGCAGATGCTGGTTTTTAGCGGATGGCCAATGACTTGTGTGGATGTGTCGATCAGTGAAGACACACACACACACACACACACACACACACACACACACACACACACACACACACACACACACACACACACACACACACACACACACACACACACACACACACACACACACACACACACACACACACACACACACACACACACACACACACACACACACACACACACACACACACACACACACACACACACACACACACACACACACACACACACACACACACACACACACACACACACACACACACACACACACACACACACACACACACACACACACACACACACACACACACACACACACACACACACACACACACACACACACACACACACACACACACACACACACACACACACACACACACACTCACACACACACACACACACACACACACACACACACACACACACACACACACACACACACACACACACACACACACACACACACACACACACACACACACACACACACACACACACACACACACACACACACACACACACACACACACACACACACACACACACACACACACACACACACACACACACACACACACACACACACACACACACACACACACACACACACACACACACACACACACACACACACACACACACACACACACACACACACACACACACACACACACACACACACACACACACACACACACACACACACACACACACACACACACACACACACACACACACACACACACACACACACACACACACACACACACACACACACACACACACACACACACACACACACACACACACACACACACACACACACACACACACACACACACACACACACACACACACACACACACACACACACACACACACACACACACACACACACACACACACACACACACACACACACACACACACACACACACACACACACACACACACACACACACACACACACACACACACACACACACACACACACACACACACACACACACACACACACACACACACACACACACACACACACACACACACACACACACACACACACACACACACACACACACACACACACACACACACACACACACACACACACACACACACACACACACACACACACACACACACACACACACACACACACACACACACACACACACACACACACACACACACACACACACACCACACACACACACACACACACACACACACACACACACACACACACACACACACACACACACACACACACACACACACACACACACACACACACACACACACACACACACACACACACACACACACACACACACACACACACACACACACACACACACACACACACACACACACACACACACACACACACACACACACACGAAAGCTTGGGTCATAAATCGTGTATCCCCACACACGCACAAACTTCATTGCGCATTCGCCTGAAAGGTCAGGGAATGCACATTGCGCATCCAAGGTGCAGATGTTGGGAAGGGTTCCTGAGGGCCCTGCTCGGAAGAACTTTGAGAATCAGGCCGACAACGTGTCAATTGCAAGCAGTCCTACCCAAGCCGCCTCGCAATGGCTCATGGGTGTCAGTTCTACCCAAGCTGCCTTGCAATGGCTCATGGAATTCATGGAATTTGAATTTGAGAACAGGTGCAATCTGCCGCCAAGTCCTTGCAGGCGGGGATGTTGCTTCCAGCGTTTCAAGGAATGCGCTACAGCCCAGGGAGTGAAGGACAACTTTGCGAATCACTGCAAGAGCAAGGTCAGCGAGGCCGGACTTCCCATGACTTCCCAAAGCAAGCTTCCTTGGCTATGGAATGCAAGGCCTTCATAAGGGTGGCAAGACCAGCGGCCCAAGGCTTAGTGCCAGTTTTTGGCCCAGGGGACAGGTTGCAGGGAGGCATTTGAAGCAAGAAAGTCCTTCGGAAGATAGGTGCAGCAGAATGCCGAGTCATCCCTCATCTTAGTGCCATCGTCTCTTCGAAGCTGCCGTCATCTGCATCAGAGTGAGTCTTGTTTTCATCTTCCTTCCAGCCGCTACCAAGGAAGACGCAGAGAAGCAAAGATATTTTGATGCGGTGCTTGAGAAGAGGACAGCACAAGAGCAGCTGCAAGCGGTTCAAGAGTCTTTGATCCAAGCCAGTTGTTGTCAGCGTGTGTGGCTGGAGCATGCGGAATGGCGTTGCTTTGTAGGGGAATTTCCTTCTTTTCAGACTCCGAAACCTCGCGGTTTCCTTTGTGTTTTGAGAATTAATGTGAGGAGCTACGTGTCCTTTCAGGCAGGGGTGGTGTCGAAAATTCTATTTGCAGGAAAACCGCACGCCGCATTTGTTTTTCTCGCAGAATCCGGTCAGGCAATTTGTGATGGCACCCGGCTCCAAGATGCAGCCTGTGTCCCTTCTGTTTTTGTTTGCCTCCGGGTAGCGGTTTGAAAGTCAAACCCGCTTCGATTGCTCTAGACTGAGGCGACCGCATGTCAACGCAAGCAATGGTTGCACAGTAGCCCAAAAAAGCACCCACGTGTGGCCATCTTGACAAAGCATTATTGCGATTGCAGAATTGGACGACTTGCAAAAGGCGTCCGCCTTTCACCCGGCATCGGTTGTATACCAGGAATGAAATCAAGGAAGCTAGCTCCTTGGGCCGTTAGAGTCCAGCCTTGGATCCTCTTGGTCAGCTGCCTCGAGTCAAAATTACAAGCAACAGCGGAGAGGTTAGGGAAGACGTGACTCGCAAGGATAGGCCGAACGTGGCCAATCATTTTGCCGCTTTTGACATGTTTTCTGCTTCAATTTGTGCGCGGCCTTAGCCAATTCTACTAGTTACCTGAGGGCGTGGGTAGCAGCTTGACGGCCCTAGCTTCGTTTGCTCTACTCTGAAGACTGAAACCAATGAAAGTATCCAGCCGGAAGGCGGAAGTGCAGACGCCGCAGGGTGAGGCACGGTGTTCTCTGCTGATCCTTGGAACAGCGTCTTGTGTTGCCAAAAACAGATGGGGGTCTTTTTGGTCGGTACCTTGTGTTTATGGTTTTAAAGGGAAACCAAAAGGCCAGCCGCATTTTTTTTTGGGGGGGGAGGGAGGGTCCCCTTAAACACAGACACACCCCCTGCTGTTTGGTTCGCACGGACAGTTCAGGTCCTTCGTACTCATAGCTCGTTGGCCGAGTGTGATCAGAAGGGCGCCCTTGATCCCCTTTTTTTGGGGGGGAAAGGTTCCCCTTTAAGCTCAAGCAACCAACAAATTGGACGCGCGTCTTTTTCCCCCCCCCCCCCAAGGCCACTGGGCATCTGAGGAAGGAACTCTGGAGGAATCGGACAAATGCCGTCCTTTGCTTCCAGTCCGCCAAGGCATTGATACCCCCGGCCAAATCCATGAACGGCTTCTGGTGGAGTTGGGCGCACCGAAGTTCCCTGAAGAAATCCATGCAGCTCCCGTATGGCCACGTGGCCACGCTAGAGACTATGCAATCAAGAGTGCACCTGACTGCATAGTTGGGCGCAAGGATGCTGACCTTCCTCTCGTCAAGTACAACTTCAGGTGATGCCCTGCTGCACGTTGTATGAATTCTCAGACTTGGCTTTGGCGACGCTCTGAGCTTTCACCCGAAAGTCCTCAGACAGATTCCCCAATGCCGAGATCAGCACCGCTGCCACTTTTTACCTGGCAGCACGTGCTGGGAGTGGATAGTGCACGCAGAAATGCTTGCACCATCCGCTCCAATTTGGGACAGTGCAATGTCGTCCTCCTAACCACTGTGGTTGGTGAGCCATGGTTGCCTTGCCATAGAACAACCCCGCCAAGCTACCTGCTGTGCTTTTGTTGGCCAAGGAAACATTGCCCCCTCCTCTCTTGTCAATCCTACATACCAGCGGCTTCTTTGTGCAAAATTGCATTGCCTGCATTTGCGAGGGTTCTCATGCGAGCCCCAGTCAAAATGATGGCCGTCCATTGCGTGTAAGGATGGACATTGGCCTTTTCTGAAGGGTATGTTATGTTGCATGGAAGAAGTCCTTGGGCATGGTGGTCCTTGGCGCCCAATTCGGCAGTCACGGGCACTTGCTTTCAGAGTCTTGGGGGAGTCAGGCTGATCATGTGCGCACCTAAGCACTAACTCCGTTGTAATCCAGGCTTGTCCTTGCACTGTGGCAGATCTTTCAACATGGCTTTGCTCAAGCTTGAGTGCAATGACACACATGACCACTATCAACACATCACTTAAAGGTTTGGCATTGAGCTCGATGCTGCGCCAGCACCAGCAACACACATGCATCCCATGGAACCAAGCTGGGAGCATGCATACTGGACCCAAGCTGGGCAGAGCGATGCCCTTTCTGAAGTTGCAACACTTCATTTGGCCAACAGTGGATGCTACTGAGCCCTCAGGGCAAGCACTTGAATGAATGGGCGGCGTGGGCTTGATGGACTGCTGAGATGTCCAAGAGGAAGCCAAACGGAGACCAGGCGATGAATCTGCGAAGTCCCACATGGCCATGGGTTAAAACCAATGGTACCATTTTGGGGTAGGTGCACCACCCATTTTAGTCTATTTTAGTGGGGATTGGGATGTTCACTGGCAGTACAGGTGGGCTTTTGACCCATGGCCACGTCCCTTACTTGTAGCGGCACATGGGACGGGCAATGCCAAGTGTGTCATGACTTTTCTTGGCGCAACAACAATTGCCCCTGGTGCACACCGAAGGTGGCGTTGCCACTGGAGATGACGGAGCGCCTTGGGCTGTAGAGAGCAGCGGTTTGCAGCAGCAGGGCGAAAGCGTGAAATAGGTGTGGGTCAAAATTAAACCACCAGGGGACCGCAGGTTTTGGTCCATGTTGCCACTTACCAGGGCAACCCATTTTGGGTACCTATTGTTGACCCACGGCCAACTATTGAATGTGTGTTTCCTATGCCGTCAAGCCACGGTTTGCGCTTATCGCACATGTAGTCGGCTGACGAAGGAAGAAAGAGAAGAAGGAAAAAGACAAGAAAGATAAAAAGGAGAGCATGGCCTGCTTGAGAGAGGACATACCCCCAGGAATCAAGTTTGCTTTTTGGCTGCGGCAAAAGCACATCCCATCGATGCTGGTCAACTTTGTCACAACACTTATGTGCATGCGTCCTTCAAGTTTGTCACACATGAGTTGTGCGTAATTCTTGCAGCGCTTGGTAAACAAGCTTCGCAGGAGAAGAAGGAGAAACGGAAAAATGCGCCAGAGGAAGGTGGCGGAAGGGGTGAGAAGGCAAAGAAGGACAAGAAGGCCAAGAAGGCTCACGTCAGTTCGATCCTCGCTCCACGCCTGGCCATGTTGAGTTTTCTTGCTTGCCAGCCTGTAGGTCCGTGGGCCTTCTCCTTTTGTTTTTTTGGTGGGGCATGCATGAGGAAATAGATATATTGCTTCCAGTTAATTTTTCTCAGTTCAACGTTTGTTGTCTGGGAGAAGCCCCGGATGTGTTTGCGGATAGTCAATAGTGACTGGCATAAAAACGATCTTTTGCAAGTTCATTTGAGCAAGACAGACGACTCAAAAAAAGCCGTCAAGGACACCAACCGCTTGCAAACGTCTCACAGTTTGACAAGCTTGCGTAGCAATTCGCGTCGCGCGGCAGGAGAAGGCCCTTCACCCCTTCTTGGACGAACCTGCCCCAGAGGCAGATGTGCATTTGGCGTCAGTTCCCAGGTGCTTGCCAAGGTCATGGGAAGGTACACTGCCAATCAGGTTCCTGTTCCCTGGAGCTTGCCCAAGGATCAGCTTGCGACTTTTCGTGCCAGTTGCGGAGTGCAGCTTGCAGCTTTGGGACCTCGGTTTTTGCATTCACATATGCACTCCAGGTAGCAGAGATGCCGTCAGCAGCTGAGGGGACACCATGGAATGCCGAATCGCACAGCGCTTGCACACTCCTGATTCCTGGCCCACGTCACTTGCCATTGCTTTTCATTCCGTTTTTCAGAATGAACTGAAGACTGATATGTTTCATTTGGAAGACGCGATTCAGTGCAAGTCCATGTGTTGCTCTTTGAGAGTTCCAGTGGCCGTAGGCCCAGCGCCTTTTCGCCGGGTGTGCCGGACGCCAAGAAGAAGGCACTGGGGCTGAGCCTGTCGCCTGACCCCCGGAAAGTGGTTGAGGTGTCCCTCAGCCCAAAAAGGCTCCCCTCGGAATGCAATGCTCCAGGTCAATCACGTGTACAGATGTTTGTAAGATTTTGGAGGAAAAGAAGGACAGGAAGGAGAAGAAGGAGAAGGCAAAGAAGGAACCCGAGCTTCCAGTGGAGGAAGCAAAAGAGGCAGACATGCTGGTGGAGAGTGGCAAGGAGTTGGGCCAAGCACCGGATGCACAGGACTGGATGTGTACAACAGCCAGCTTTCATACACGTCGCAAGAATGCAGAGATATTTGATTGGTGACCGAGCGTGGATTTCTTCGATCAGGCCGTTTTGGGTTGCTTTAGGGGTTGCAGGTTCTCGATCTTTGGCGTGTTTTTCACATGTTGTCATGTACCCCTCAGTTGGTGGTTTGGATTTGGATTTGAGCCCCTGGTTCTTGCGGAAGGTAAATGGGAAGCCCCTCCTGAACCGCCAAACCACGGATTCGGCTCCGAGCACGAGGGACTTCGTTGAGTCCAGGAGTCGGCCGCTGAGGCGGAGGACGAGACTCAAGCCGCACAGGGGGCCAGTGGTACCTTCTCTCCGGAAACCCAGGGAAAATAGCCGGTTTTTGAAAAGAACGATGGTTTCAAAGAATGGAAAAGGATTCAACCCCTAGAGCCCTGGGTAAAAATGGAAACCAAGACACAAAACCCGCGGTTCGCCCGAGCTCTGGGAAGTCTTTCAGTCGTTGATGGTAAGGGAAAACCGCCTCCTTTAAGGGGTCTTTTGGTGGATGGACTGATTTTCAGCTCGCTAAGTGGTGCTGGATTGGTGGTTGGGGGATTTGAACGCCCAGTCCTTGGTTCACGCAAAGGCAAGAGCACATGACTTCCGAGGCACTAACCCTGACCAACCGCAAAAAAACACCAAAAAAACTACCAGATTGGGGAAAGCTGACAGTTGGTGGCAGCCAAAGGGAGATGGTCGTGAATCTCTCAATATGGACACAGACACAGGTAGGCATTGTCAGGGTGCCCGTGGCCCATGAAACGCCCAGGGCAGGGTTTTGAGATGGGATTGGTTTTGTTGAGGAGAGCAAGCAGCATCGCGGGACGCTGTGCATTTGGAAGGCATCTTGCAAAGCCAAGTACGCGGAACACGAAGTAGATTCTAGTCGTTCCTTTCCACCACTTTGCACTCCAGATGCATCCCGTCCCGCTCAAGCCTCGCAGGATTTCTGGCGAGAGGTCGGCTTGCATGATGAGCCGGCGGAGGAGACAGCCGCTGCCGGCAATATGGAGGAAGCAAAAGACGCATGCCAGCAATGGGAATATGGGTATGGGTCAAAATTAAATCACTAGGGGACTGTAGGTTTTAGTCCAGCTCTCCAATTGCCAGGGTTCCATTTGGGTACCTATTTTTTGACCCACAGCCATATGAAGCCTGATTTGTGTTCGTAGGGGGTTTCAAGAGTGACGACTGTTTGCACATGATCCAACCACTCTCAAGACCAAGAGTCCTGAACGGCACATGTGTGATCACTTGTCTGCAGAACTGGCGTATTTGCCAACACTTTGGGGGGAGCTTTTTGTTGGAGGGTTCTGTTACAGGCATTGGCCAATTTCTCCATCGTGCCACATCGTCTCATGGCGTTCGCACCGTGGAACGGCCCCACAAGCGTGCCGCGGCTGACCGCCTCGCCGCGAGCGTTGAGTTGCAGAGGTTTGACTGCCTCGAGGTTTCGCTCCCGGAAGGCTAGAGCCCGGCGCCAGCTCAATGCATTCCGCAGGGAGGTTGTCGCTTGTGTGGCGGCGGGGACGGTTCTAGCGAGGACCTCGCAAGCACGTGCTGGACCTTTTGTGAGCTTCCTGTCAGACATTCTGCCGATCACGGAGGCTCAGCGCAGCGTTGCCAAGGCAGACATGGCGATCCGCGAAGGAGTCAACTCCATGACGGAGATCGTTGTGTCCCCAAGCTATGCCCCCAAGGTGTCTGACGCGGTGGGAGCAGAGCAGGCGGTGCTGAGAGCAGGGGAGGCTGCAGCAGAGGCCGCCGGCTTGGACATGACGAAGATCACGTCTCGCATCGCGGAGCTAGCGGACAAGGAGCGCAGCCGCTTGCGCGGGCGCACAGAAGCAGGCCTCTTTGAGACGGAGATGCTGGGCTCTGTCACCTACCACATGGTTGCCAACTTGGACAAGCCGACCTATCCAGCCTTCCAAGCCTATTGCACCTGGAAAGCCTACGATGAGGCGCTGAGTCAGTCCGGCAAGGCCACCATCTTCCGGCGAGTCTTCGGGCAAAAGCTCCTGGCCGAGCTGAGCTTCCCGCAGCCCCCAAGCATCAGGCCGCAAGAGGCCGCCTCTGCCATTGATCGAATTCAGGCTGCGCTGGATGCGCTGATCGCGGCGGGCTTTTGCGCCAAAGCCGTGCCGCAAATCGATGAGGTCCTGGTGGAAATATGGGCGGACGGGGGCAGCAGAGACCTGGTGCTCCCAGTGCTGATCGAAGGAGATCCCTTGGTAGACGCCCAGATTCTGCTCTCCGAGGAGACGACTCCTTCCGTTTTGCCCGACCCCATCGTCGCGGCATTGACTGTTTGGTTTGAGCAGGCGGGCGGCCCTGGCTATCCATCCCTGGAGACTTACTACGTAAACTCCCGGTGGCGCGGCAAAACGGAGTATTCCAACATGGTGTATGTGCCAAAGCAGCGTCTTTTCCAGTTAACGCTCCACAGGTCCGCAGCGTCAGCAGTGGCATAGCTTGAGGGCCGGCTGTGGAAAACAAGGTGGTTTGGAGCCTGCTTCGTTGACCCCCTTGTTGACATGACTGAACCCATGTTCCACGTTCCTACGCATCCGTGGCACTTGCGGCTAGCTGTCCATGTCACCGCTGAGGACGCTGTTGACGATGAGCCCGATGAGGGCCCTTCCGTGCAAGAGCAGGAGGAGCGGTGAACACGGTTGGGACTCAGCGATTGTTCTAGGGGTTGACTCCTTTTCCATTCTTTTCAGCCATCGTTCTTTTCAAGAACGAACGCCATTTCCCCAGGTTTTTTTGGTGGTTTTCTAGAAAGATCCGGATCCCTGGGTTTAGAATGGGGAGGTGTCCCCTGGAAAAATAGAATACCCGAAACGGCCCTTGGGAAATGGAAACCAAGACACAAAACCCTAGAATTGTAGGCGGGGGCACTGCTTTGCAGCCAGGAAGAGGAGGCCAAGATGGAACTGGACCCTGAGCGGCCTCGGGTGCTGACCTTGAAGAAGGAGGCAGGGGAAATGCGTTCATGTTCCGTTGAAATACAAGAACTGTGTTGCTAGTTTCCACCGCTCTTTTCAGGCAAGGGCATTTAGTTCATCAAGAACTGTTTTGCTAGTTTCCACCGCTCTTTTGAGGCAACCAGGGCATTCATATACTTGGCAACCCTTTTGTCAAACAAATTACCGCGCGGCTCTACCAGAGGTGCACCGCTGCCAAGGAAGATGAGTACATCTTTGGTTCTAGAACGTCCAAACGCGCCTGCCCCAGACTTGCGGCAACCTTGCAAACATCTCAGCAAACCTTCCTGCTCCTATCAGTACTTGCCAGCTGCGCTTATCCACATCACCGGCATCACCAGCATTGCCCGCTGCATGAGCATCACTAGCGTCGTCGGCATTGCCAGTATCACACGGGAGCAGTGCCATGATCTAGCAGCATCTCCACATCAGCCGCATCATCGTCATACTTATTAGACCAAGACCAATGTCACCCGCATTCCCACATCACACGGCAGCAGCGCTCTGACATCATTTGCTTCGGGCGCACGACAAAGCTGGTAGGATTCAGAACTCTACCTGTCACTAGCAACTCTCAACAGCAAGCATTGGGTCAACGCACAGGTATTCGGGACTCCCCAGGTTCATTCCATTTCTCATTCCGTGCGTGCCAGCAAGTTGGGGGGAGGTGGGTCAGGGGAGGTTGGGAGGGTTGGATGGAGTTCTCCAAGGTCGACTGAAGCCCGATGGTTGATTTTCCCATGCCCTGAAAAGCGGACATAAATCCAACCACCGAATTTTGATGTCCATTTCGGGTCCCCCACTCTACCAAAGGGTCCCTTAAAAAAGAGAAGAATCAGCCCCATAGGACACATCAGACCCATAGGACACATCAGACCTATCTTTGCTTCCCAGGCGCGAGCCACGGGGAAGTGGCCATGTGTCCCAAGTGTGCCACAATCAAAGCTCGGGTAGATAAAGGTTAAGGGGCAGTCGCCAGAAATAGTTTCGGATATCCGGCTTCTCAATTCTTTAAAGACTATTTTACTACTGGGTTTTGATTATGACCCAGAACCATGTAAAATGGTCTACCCAGAACCCTGCTTCAAGAATTAAGAAGCCGGAGATCCGCAGCTATTTCTGGCAAGGGGATTGTCCCGAACCTTCACCAATCCCCGGGTTTTGACTCTGACTCAAGTGGGTATGGGTCAAAATAGAACCACCAAGGGACCGCAGGTTTTAGTCTTTGGTTCCATTGACCATGGCAACCCATTTTGGGGTTACCAACTATTTTTTCACAACCACAGCCACATGGAAACATTGGATTGTCCCTGGTTGCGCGAGGAAGCTTGGGTCCCCAAATTCGGGGAGCGGCCAACTTCGCGGAATTCGGGAAGCTTCAGTCACGTTTTCGACCACCGCCCAGCGCTGCGTCAGGAGGAGGCGCTGCTGCGGGCCAACGGCCAGGCGCAGCTGCTGCTGCTCCGGCGCCTCGCGAGCGACGCGGAGCTGCTCCTGGAGGAGCGGAAGCGGAAGCGTGAGAGACGTGGAAAGTTGAAGACGACCTTCTGGTGGTTGTACCCTCTTTTTTGGTTGGTCCCCGCTTTTTTGGTCGTTTTTTTTTTGGGCCCCCTGTTTTGGTGGTTGTCATCTCTCTCTGTTTTTGGGGTCCCCTTTTTTGGGTTCCCTCTTCCTTTTTTTGGGTTGGTCCCGCTTTTTGGTTCTTTTGTGTTTGTGTCGCTGGTTGTTTTGTTTGCTCTTGGTGGCTGGAGGAGCCATCCGGTCCCGGAAAGCCGTTGAGTTGCTTTTAGTGGGTCATTCACTGTTAGCAGGGGATCTCACGGCAGCCCGGTGTTGTGTATTTATGTTCCCCTCTTTGTCTCGGTGTTTGTTTCTTGGTTATCTTTTTTTTGAATATTTTTTGTCCTGTATGCTTTGAGATTCTCGCACGCGTACAAGGTTTGCTTGTTCGGTTCTGAACTGAAGCGAACGTGGCTGGTGGGGCTTAGCAGTTCATGTTCTCAGGTCTCTTGATTTTTCAAGCTCTTGCCACCTTCCCTGCCGCTGGCAGGATCTGTCCCATTCAGACAAAGCGCTGAGTCCACTCTGTGGGTTGCTGCGATCTCCCGTTGATTTTCTTAAAGCACACACACACACACTCACCGATCTAGCTGGACATTGTATTTGCGGCATGCTCATCTGGGTCATTTAGTTGGAGACCACGGAGAAAGTCACGGGTTGAATCCACATAGCTTTTCCATGGGTGCCAGTTCCACGCATTAGCACGTCCAGTACGCGTTTGAGGACACCCGTTAGCAAGCAGCAGCGACACAAATTCAGATGTTGTTTCCCTTTTTTGTAGAGACGGCAGCAGCAACAATGCAGTGTAGGAATTCAAGATAAGTTTTGGAACCATGTCCTTTTTGGCAAACAAGCGTTTTGACCATGGTTCAATGATCTTTGTGACCCCTTCAGTTGATTGGTTGTCTTTTGCTTCCCTTTAAGCAGCCATCTCAACAGCCCTATTTTGAGACCGGCCCATTTTTGAAACTAACATCCGACACCCATCTTGTCCAGAAATTCCAACACCATGTGGATCATAGTGTCATCGTGGATGACCGTACCGTCTGTCAGAGTTTTCGGACCCTACTTTTAACCAGTTATTGGGACCATGGTACCCGTTTTTGTCCAGTTTCCTCAGTTTTTTTTTGAACTGTTGTTTTGCTGATGTTCTTTCTGGCCCTTCAACACTTTAAGTTTGCACATGTTTCCACCAACTGCTCCAAATGGGTATCCCTTTTTCTGGTGGTTGGGTGGGTTCAAAGGGAAACCAAAAGGAAGACCAACACTCCCTCTCTTTTTTTGGGGTGGGGGTGGTCCGATTCCGAAAAAGACAACCCCCTATATACATTGTCGACATTTGAGCAGAAGTTGTAAGTTATGCTGAAAGGACAGTGGGTGTGTCTTTTTTTTGGCACCCCTTTTTGGGATTAAAGGGAGACCAAAACGACAACCACCCCCTGACAACACGTGCGAATGCTTGAAATTGAAAAGAAACACGTCCAACATCGAGAAGCTGCAACCCCCAAAACAGCCCAAAACGGCCTGAGCGAAGAAATCCAAAGGTTCCCATTTGCCCGCTACGAGAAGCAGGGACCCGTTCAAATCCAAATCCAAACCAGTGATCCGAAGCACCAACTGAAGGGTACCTGACAACATGTGGGAAGCAAACGTGAAAACCCCTACGACCTCGAGAACTCACGGCCGGATCCAAGAAATCCAAGCCGCAACTCCGAAGCCGAGGGTCGCCGATTTCGGGAGGACTCGGAGCTGCGCCTCAGCTCAGAGGTGCCGCACGCGGCGCGCTGCGCGGAGCTGGCGGCCAGGCCGACACCGAGAGGAGAAGTCGGGAGGCCGTTCTTTCAAACCCTCCGAGTCCTCAAAAAATGGCGAGACACATGGTGTGTGTATGATATTCGTATTTGAGATTTAGACTTTCGTTTGTAGATACATCAAGATTTGCTTGCACATAAAAATTGTCAGGTGTACTTTCTACAGTTGAGTTTCCGTTCTCCCGTGTGATGGGTGTAAATATTTCAGACTCATCTGAGCCACAATCAAAACCCGGGTAGATGAAGGTTAGTCAGGGACAATCCCAACCATAAATAGCTGCGGATATCCGGCTTCTTAATTCTTTACATAGTTCTGGGTAGACCATTTTAAGAGCAGGTTTTGTTTATAACTCATGTGTGTATGATATTCATATGAGATTTAGACATTCATTTGTACATATATCAAGATTTCTTTGCACATAAAAATGGACAGGTGTACTTTCTACAGTTGAGTTTCCGTAGACTACAGCTGAACATTCCGTTCTGCCGTGCGGTGGTGAAAATATTGCAGACTCACTTGCGGGGAGCTGCAAATCCATCGGACGTCTCGGTCCAGGGCGCTCCTGGCCAGCAGCTCGGGGGACGCGGTGTATTTGCGGGAGATGCTGCAGGCGGACGGCTGACTGTCTGACTCCGTGGTCGTCTCTGCTGGTTCTCAGCGGTGAGCAATGGGAAGGAGCCCGAGGAAATTATCCCTTTCTTTCCTTTTTGGAGGCTTACCCTCAGTACACCGCATTCCCCATGGAGTACTGTGAGAAGGAATCAAGGGAGACCTGGTCAAGCAGAGTCTACAAAATGGACAGATTGAAACAAATATGAAGCTTTCATGTTACATGATTACATGTGACCAGCTGAAGCCAAGCAAGTAGATCTCCCGAAGAGGGGCCTCCCAAAAAGGAAAGTCATACTGTCAGTTCTTTGTTGGACACGTCCAGCAAGCAGCTTGTTGATTTGCTCCAAGCTTTGAAGTGGTACTTTGGAGAAACATTGTTTTCCCGCTGGCTTCCCCACATTTTCCCATCTCAAACATGATTCTAAGGGCACGCCAGAAAGACTTTCCAGGGTCCCCTGATTTGGAGGCAGACCCATGTCCTCGTCTTTGAAGCAAGTGCACAAAGAAACACAGTCAAGTTGTGTGTGGGGGCCATTAGGAGGTTTTTTTTGGGGGCGGGGTTCAGGGTATTTGTGGGAAGCTCACCTTGAGAAGCCCAGAAACTGCTTGAGCCCAGGGGCTCCGCAGCCTCTCTCCGCTCCATGGCCAGGCAACGGCAGGAGCCGTGCAAGACATGCCCCAGGCCTGTCTGCTGGATGTGCCGGGCGGTGTGGACCCGAAGGCGCGGCGTTTTGGAATTGATTTGTGGCCGTGGTGGTCAACACCGTTTTGGGATCCCATTTTGGTTGGTAGGTGAATTCACCACTCATTTTAGTCTATTTATTTTGGGGTAGGTGAATTCACCACTCATTTTAGAACCTATTTTAGTGGTTGGATTGGTTGATGTTTGCTGGGGGTACAGGTGGGCTTTTGCCCATGGCCATGTGGGTATGGGTCGAAAGATTTTGCCACCAGGGGCAGGTTTTAGTCCATGCGTCCATTCACCAGGGTCATTTTGGGTACGTATTTTTGACCAACAGCCAGAGACCAGCAGCAATAAGACATGACATAAGTACCCCCAACAAACATACCTTGAAATGAAGCCCGGACAAACACACAAGCGAAGCCGCGAAACAATCATGACATGTTTCTTTTGGATCTCGAGAGGAGGTTCTATTTGAAAAGGGGCTGGCTAGATCTGTTTTTGGGCATCAAGAACCTGGGACTCCGGGTGGAAGCGCCGCGTCAACCACAATTTGGGAAGAGGCGATGGGGCGAAGGGTGAGAGTTGGAACTCATGAAGCAAAAAAAAGGCAACCTGATTTCGAAGGCAAGCTGACGAAATCCTCTGCTACTTGCTACTGGGTTGGATCTTTAGACTTTAACTTTCTGGATTCCCCTCATACTCCCTTTTAACCAGCAAAAAGTCTAAGCTTTTGCTGGCAGATCTATAGCACCCAAGAATCGGGGAAAGATAGGGCCACCGGATTTTTTTCGCTCCCGCCGCGTCATCGAAGCCCACAGGAGCTCCGCCGCTTTGGGGACCTTGTGGCTGCATACCTCCGGCCAAAGGCAGGCCGCGTTGCTTTGCCAGAGCGACTGAAGTTTTTTTTCTTGACGCTCCCGCAGTTACAGGGGGTGACGCTTGGATGGAACACCACGAAAAAGATGACACTTCCCATCTAATGGGGAAAGTTGCCCATGGTCATTTGGGGGCCGAACGGAAGATTGATAAACCCAGAGGTCCATAGCAAATGGGTGCGGCTGATTTTTTAAGGGCTGGGGCAAACCGCAGCTTTTAGTCCGTGGTTCGATTTACCCAGGTGCCGTTTTGGGTACCATCTTTTGAGCCACAGCCAAACGGGTCCAACCAGAAGCCCATTGCAAGGAGCCGATTCGTGCAAAGACAAAGCTCACCCCGGCACAAGCGGCTCTCTGCAAACAGCTGGGAAGCTCAGCGAGCCAAGCGGGCGCTCGAGGTGTGTTTGGGTGTTGAATCGAATACTGATTATTCGACATGCATTGCCATTTGAGTGGGCGCTCACTCACTGCTTGCCGGCAGATGATTCCCAGCGTCCAAGATTCGGAAGGGTGGGATGGAGGCCGTATGGAGCTTGGTGGTTCCCAGTCATCCTCTTTGGCTTTTAGGTTAGGGTTTCGTCGGTTTAGTGGCTAAGTTTCCATTTGATCCATTTGTTCACTTTGAGCAGGGTATCAGATCAGTTTGGGCACTTGAGTCGGATCCACGCCGAGGCTGGGCCTCCACGTGGGCCAGGCGAAGCAAGCGACGGATGCGTTGAGGGTCGGGGCATGTGGCGCCAGGTCGCAGATGCGCGAATGCCTTTTATTTTAAATGAGTGCAAGTCCAGTTGGGCGTGTCGCAAAATGTTGGGCTGAATGCCGTTGTTTCTTTTTGGCTCCTGTGTTGGTTTAGCTGTAGGAGGCCAAACGAAAGCCAGCGCTTTTTGGGTTTCCAAGTTTTGATGCGTATTACATAGGATGACCATTGGGGAAAGCCACTAAATGGGAAAAGTGATCCATGGTCATTTTGGGGTCGAACGGAAGATTGATCAACCCCCAAAATGGTGTTTCTGCCAAATTTGCAACTGCCTTGTGCCCCGCTGAGAAGCCATCTTGGACTCATTGACACATGCAAGTTTCCACTTGTCTTTGGCTCCGGGTAGCTTCTTATTGAAACCATCTTCCTCCCAAGTCAACTGGAAGCTCAAAAACGCTTGGTAGAGAAAGCAACCTTTTGTTTTGTGGTGTTCCACGTAAACCCGGCCCCTTCTTGGGTTCCACCTACACCTTCCCACCCCCCGCTTCCCGCCTTCGCCGTTTGGGTTCCGTTTGGCTGTGGGTCAAAGCGAATGGTATGCCATTTTGGGGTAGGCGAATTCACCACCCATTTTAGAATCTGTTTTAGTGGTTGGATTGGTATGTTCACTGGGGGCTAACCGATTCGGATGTTGCCCACCATCGCGGTGGGGTTTTTTCCGTTCCGGTTTACCGGTTTACCGAACCGGCTCGACTGCTATTGGGTTGGATCTTTAGACTTTAACTTTTTGGGAAATGAAGGGGTTTTCCACTAATACCCCCAAAAAGTTTTAAAAAAATAAAAAAAAAAATGCCGGGGGGTCAACAGCAACCAAGCCGGGAGAACGGTTGTCCCGCGCGTTACCGGTTCGGTGTGAGGCGGTGGAGGTGCGCTACGGGGAGCAGTGGTTCCACGCCACGGTGGTGGGCTTCACGGAGCTGGGCACCGTGCAGGCCAGGGTGGATCACTCGGGGTTTGGATTCTCCAACCACTGTGATCTAAAGTCGGGAATCCCCATTTTGTAGGAAGAAAATCCCCCATTTATATGACAAAAACACCCATGAGTAGGAAGAACAACTTACACTGTGATATCAGTTGGGAATCCCCCTTTCTGGGAAGAAACAACAAGTCTTTGGGGTTAGGCCCAAGTTGTATCACAGTGGATTCCATTCCCCACTGGTGCAGGCGGACTACTTCCGCACCGACGGGTCCCTGCCCGAGTGCGCAGGCCAATGGCGGGCCAGCGGCGGGCGGGGAGGGGTGGCGGCTGGTCCGAGCGAGGGAGTTGGGGGGGGGGGGGGTTCCTTAAAGCAGCCAACCGAACCCGGTAACGGATGGCTATGAGTCTATGAGTTTTAATAGGGAATCACCTCATGAGTGGTTGGTGGACACGAATCCCACCCTAGACTTTCCTATTCAAATTCAGACCCAAACCCAAATGAGGAAGAAAATTTGAGGTGGGGCCTGACCCACCCCAACTCCAACTCCTGTCAGGTGGGGGGTCAAGGGACCAGGCTGATGTTCAGTGAACACGAAAGGACGCGACCCACTTCGATTTGGCTTGGAGGCACACGATCTGGTTTCAGTCATGGTAGGCGGCGAGATCGAGGTTGGTGCAATAGACATTCGCGCCACTTGGCTTGCACCGCAACTTTTGGTTGTTCTGCGACCAGAAGGCAGACATGACTCCAGGATGCTTCCCAGTGCCTGTTCAATGCCAACACGTCCTTGGGTCAACCCCATGTGAAACACATATATGGTGTGTTTGCAATGTCAAGTAGCGCGAGTGTGACGCGCTTCGCTGCAGCTTGAGCCCAGGCAGCGCAGACTCCTCGACCGAGCCGTGTTATTGATAGTGGCCGCCAGTCTGAGATTGAAGATAGTGTTCCTTATGGACGACTCACCGCTGGTCTGTGGAGTGAACCCGGAGCATCTCTTTCTATGCCTCTGGCTCCCCAACGGGGTATCCTCTCCAGTCAGGATTCGAGCTCCCCGTTCCCTCCCACCTAACATGGGTCTGTGCAAAAAGTTCCAAGAGCCAAGAGGAAAGTCGTCTTACAGTCTGTGCACAAACCCATGGAGTCGCTGGCAGGGGAACCGGTCAAGGGAAAGAATCGGATCCAGCCGAGGAAAGCTGTTGATCATGGGAGAGCGCCGAGCGCGCCTCAGCGCGAGGCGCAAAACTCGCGGGGCAGGAAGCAAACATGTGATGCGGGAATGCCGTCAAAGCCGGTGTACAAATCTTTCTGTCTTTCAGATGAACGCTTGGCATTCTGGGGGGAGAATGCAGGTAATTAAGCTCACCGAGTTTACATAGCTTTGTAGCATGTCGCACCCACCTGCAAATGTGGAGCGCTTCGGTGATTCAGCATGCAGCTCAATTGTTCGGCCTGCTCGCGTGAGGCTGCATGCGGCGGCGCAGGCAGAGCGACGAGCTGTCGCCACAGGACGGACCTTCTGGTCCATTGTTTGTAAGGTGGAAGTTGCCATGTGCCAACGTGCAGCTGGCTTGCTTGGTAGATTTCTGTAGTCCTGCAGCATTCAATCATTATAAGCAAATGCAGACGAAAGCAGCATTGGACTTGGAATGGGCAGGAGTCGCCAGCTCCCTCCACACCAAAGAGCAGAGCTTGGCGGAATCCATGCTGGGCCTTCCTAAGGCCAGGCAAGTTGTGGATATTGGGTCAACATGGTCAACCTGACTCACCAGCGAACGCGACTCGCCCGTTCGCAGGTTATTTGCTTTCCGTCAGGTTCCATGTTTTCCTGGCCAGGCTAGATGACTTCTTAAGATTTGAGTTGTTAGTGACCATGGTGAAGCATAGATGTGTTTCCCTTGCCAAAGTGCACCTGCAACACGTATGCCATATGAAGCTCCCGAGACGTGCAAAGAATGGCTGAATGGTTCGTCCGGTTTTATGCCTCGGATCATACAGCGCCATGGATATTCCGGCGCTCGTTTGCCCTAGGATGGCGCAATTCTGGACGAGGACATGCGCGCAAAAGTCATGTCGAACCTATTCCCTCATGCCAGCGAAGCCGTGAAGCCTATGGTAGGATCATCATGAATGATCCCACTGGTTCTTGCTCGCCTCGTCTCACTCCCTAAGTTCCTGGACTTTAAACTTTTTTGGGAAGACGATTTTAGTGGCAAATAAGCATGTTGCGGACTTCTTCTGGCTAATTCACTCAGGAAGTGAGTTGTGCTTGGAATTTCGGTTGCCGTTCTGTTTTTGCCAAGACTTCTGGTCTCCAAATGATCAAAGCCGAAGGAGTGGCCAAATGTTTCCCAAAGCGCCTTTGTCGAAGGATGTTCCTACACCCTGGCATTACACCCTATAGGAAATGACCCACACGAGTCCCAAACCAACATAACCAGGTTTCCTTGGAAAGAGGCTAGAATAGGGTGATTCCCCAGAAAGAGCAATCCCAGAATGTAGTGAAAGCCTTGGGATTTTGGGGACCGAGCAGTTGCATTCGGTGCAACCCTTCTCTCTGAACAACTCCAGTAGGAGCTCCGGACGGTCCGAAAGAATTTTGAACGGCGCGAGGGACCAGGGCCGGATTGAAACTCTCATGGTGTTCAAGGAGATGGATGCAGAACTGGAAACGGTAGCACTGGTCAACCCATGGCCCAACGAGAACGTACCAGTTGACCTGCGGCAGCACACGGTGATTTTCAAGAAAGGGACTGCGCGGGACCTGGGAAACTACAGGCCGATGTCCCTTCTTAGTCTTTACACAATCTTTGCAGCGTTGCTGCAAAAGCGAATTTCAAACGCCCTTGCCGGCCAGCAGAGCACGCAATACGGGTTTTGCAAGCGGAAGGGGACGTCGCACATCTAATCAGGCGGCTGGTGGACACAGCAGAGCGAGCCAGAAAACTCAACACGTGGGACTGATGTCTGCCCAACGGATGGGCGCACAAGCACTCGAACTCCTGGCCAAAATAGAAGAGGAAAGCGGACGGTATGGTCTCAAGCTTCACAAAGGCAAGTGTGAATCGTTATTTGAAGTACCGTCAATATTACTTCTGTTGAGTTTAGTACTCGGTGTTTCATTGATATAGTGAAAATGCACAAAGCGATGGCAAACGATAGGGGACTCTCAAAAAAAAGATACCCCGGGAAAAGGATGGAAACGCTGAAAAACGATAGGGGACTCTCACACTAAGTAGCGAAACGGCCGTGGTTTCGACAGTGCCTCATATGTCAGGAGCAATGATCAAGTTAAATTTATTGATGATGCAGTAGCCAAACGAATGGGGAATACACTCCAAAAGGGGGGCTCAAGGATGATTCCAAGTGCAGTTCTCAGATCCCTCACCACCAAAGAGCAAAACGAGCAACGGTCAAAAATTGCTTTCAACTAATGCCTGCAGTACAGCGGTGACATGGGGCACAACATAGTTTCTCACGATTTACAGTGTCATTGGGGGACACAACAAAATGGGCTGGTCTCCAATTGAGGAATCCCTGAACATGGTTGGTTCCGTTCAAAACTTGGGTTTCCCACCCCACAAAGAGACCGCCAAATGGAGAGTTCAACAGGAAAACACCTCAATTCTGAGGATCCCAAAGGTCTAGCTTGACAGCATACCCAGGGATGGATTTTCCTTTGGGGGTCTTCCTACTGTGGGTGGACGAAATCTTGCACCGCTTTGAAACCAAATAAAACCATGATTTGTGGACATTTACAGGGAATCGAATCATTCCAGGGTTTCAAATGTGCGAAATGGATTTCGCAACTATCCGCAGTATGTCCATGGTTCAAAGCCGTTTTGGGATCCCATTTTGGTTGGAAGGCGAATTCACCCCCCATGTTAGAACCCATTTTAGTGGTATTGAATCGGATGTTCACTGGGGGCTAACTGATTTGGATTTTGAAAAGCCCATGGCCCATTTGCATGGAACCTGACAGGGAAGGGGTTCTGGAAGACCGAACCCCCATGTCAGGTTCCATGTGAATTGGTGGGAGGAAACCAGGTGGTGAGAATGGACCCATGGCCAAATGTTTCAGGTATGTTTCAGGGTTAACTCAAAGGGACCCTGAAAATTGATGGTTTTCCTTTTGTTTCCCTTTAACACCACCCCAAATAGGGAATCCTCTTACATTTTTGCTTATTGTGGTTTAGTGGTTGAAATCCCCACTTAACTGCTAAAACACATATTTTTGCCTCCCCTTCCATCGTCAACCAAGTTTGTGTGAAGGAGATGGACTTTTCGGTGAGCTGCTTGGAGCTGCCCCCGGAGACCGCCACCGGCCATGGCCTGCATCGGCTCAACCAGGCCTTTGGTCGGATGGGTGGAAGGGTGCTGCATTTCTTTTTTTCGAGGCAAATGTCTGGGTGAATTATAACGACCTCACACGACCTCACCCCAAATGGTGGTTTATGTGGGGAATGGCCCCCCAACCACCTTATTTCAGGCTGGTGAAATATGATAATTCACTCAGAAATGCGGAAGGGTAGAGGAGCTTCTGGACAAGCACCTTTTGTAGCACGGTGTCCAATAGAGGCAATACGTTCCAGCATCTTTCGTAAAAGGCCCTTTTACTGTAGAAGGATAGAGGCACTTCTGGACGTTGCCCAAGAGCGTTTTTTCAAGGCAAATCCGAGGGAACACAACTGTTTGAGACGAGGTTTAATCTTTCGTCGCTGTGCGGCACGTCTCAGTGATCCCTTTGCCGCCTGAAAGAGAATGGTTTAGAGCAGGGCGATCACCATGTTTTGTTGTTTTAATGTCTGGATCGCGCTCCAAAGATGGTAGGGTGGTTACACATGTCCCCGTGTATTTCACGAAAGGTAGCCTCAAGGAGGCTAACTTGAGTTTGTCCTTGCGTTAGCAGGGCGGGGGTCTGGGGGTCGGCTCGGTCGCAAAACCAATGAAATATCGCCCCCCCCCCTCCCCCTTCGACCCCCCTAGTCCGCCCTGTGGCCCCCCCCCCCCCCCCTGCCCAAGTGCCTGATTGGCAGCTTCTCCTGTTTCCGCTCTTTTAGCTCGCTTCGCTTCACACTTCGGTCCGCATTTCGCACCATTTTCCTCTTAACATAGTCGAGCTGTTGAGCTCCACGCGCACCTGAATGGTATTCGATGCAAGCCGCTTCCTTTGACTAGGGGGATTACTTTACGGTATCCTACCTTTCGTGTCATCCCTTCTCAAGTCTGATTTCCCCAGGGTCCAACCAAAGCAACTCGCAAGGGTCCGGCAATGTGAGCTTTATTGGCCACGTTCGACGGCTTATAGCAAGGCCTAGCATGTTGGTAGACCCAGAAGTCAGTGGGTGTGAGGTGCTCATGTCGTCCTTTCGGGCTTCTTGAAGTCAAAGGGCAACCGTTCATCAGGGTTCCAGAACCAGACCTGCAGAGTGCCAGGTGGCCCGAGTCACAGACGCCATGCTGGAAGTTCTGCCCGGAGGCGTGGAGGGAAGGCAGCCGGAAGGTGTAAATGCCAATCTTGTCTTCGAGCTGGGCTGAGTTGGTGCCCTCTTGTTTGTTTGTTTGTTTGTTTGTTTGTTTTTTTCAGAGCAACATGGGAAGGTTCGTTTCCTCTTGATGTACTTTCTTCTTTGGTGGGGGGCCTCTCTTTGCTTGGATTTGAGTGGGCTGGAACCCTCTCGAAGCTTAGCTGAAAAGCTGCAAACCACCCCTCATTGCCAATTTGGGCCCCGTAGCTTTCAGCTTAGGGAATGAATGATACCACACATCCACATGGTTTTGAATTTTGAGGGAGCCCCTAAAACGGTTTGCATACATGTTTCTCCTCGATACCACCAAACAAGTGGGCACCCTTTAAAACGGGTATCTTCAAAGAAGCACAAGGTAGTTGGAACCTCAGAAAATAGGCCCCCCCGAAGCAAAACACGGGCACCCTAAAGAACAAGAACACATCCACCGAGAGCGCAGGGCGCCGCGCTCTTCTGGGCGGAGACTTTGAGGAGCGGCGCCGGGCGCGGAGTCTGCTGGAGCTGCTGCCCAGGGTCCTTCGGCCCGTGGGTGCGGTGGGTGTGTGGGTGGGTGGGTGGGTGGGTGGGTGGGGTCTTTTTGGGTGGGTTGGCGGGGGGGGGGGGGGGGTCGCGTTTGTTTTTGTTTTTTTGTTTTTGTTTTTGTTTTTTTGTTTTTTGGAGGAGCGGGGGGTCGCGATTGTGGTTGTTTTTGTTTTGACTTTGCTTTTTGTTTTTTGGAGCCGGGGGGGGGGGCTTTCTGGGGGTGTTGCAACAAGTTTGCCTAGAATGGGTATTTACGGCTCGAAATGAAATAGCTAGTGTCTAGCAGGTGTTAGTTGTTAGTCTTTGTTTCTCTTTGCCACGGTGCCAGTTTGGGTACCAATATTTGAGCCACAGCCAAATGGGTGTGTTGCTTTTTTTAGGAGATGGCAGCACCTGAAGAGTGGCTGGTGGAGACGAATCCCCAAGACCACCAACTATCCAAACATGCATTTTTGGTAGCCACTGTCAAAGGAAAAGTAACAAACACCGAACATAAGGCCCTTAAAAACTCGAATGGGGTTGTGGGGCACTATACAACCGTATTGCTATTTATGTTTGTAAAGGTACAAACCCTGCAACAATAGGCAAAGGAAGCGGGGTGAACATGAAGGAAACCCACAAGGCAAAGGGGTTAGAATCCAATCGTCCAAACCACGGCATTGCTTTTCTTCACCACCCAACTTCCTGTCAGGGAAGCTGCCGAGAGGTTTTTGGACGATTCCAGTCGTTTTGTGCCAGCGTCTGGAACTCACTTCCATAGACCTTGGTTACCTTTAGCGGGAACCCAAAGGTTGTTCGGAGCAATGGATTCTAGAAGGGGTTCCCTATCCAATTTGAGACAACACCCTTCTGAAAACACGCACGGTTTCGACGGAGAACTCGGACCCCCGGCGGCCTACCCCGTTGGGTAGGTATTTGTTGTGTTGGCCGTCTTGTTTTTGTGGGTGGGGCAGTTTGACTTGCGCATGTGGACAAATCTATGATGTGGGCAAATGGAGGGCAGAATGTAACGGGGAGGCTCTGGCGTCAACTTCAACAAGGACCAGCCGCACCTGCCAAACAGACCTGCCTGAAAAGTGGCAAAGAAAGCACCAGCAAAGCTCCAAACACGTCTGTCAGGTTTCATGTGGCTGCGTGTAGGCGGATATCCGGCACCGTTTCGCCCAGTGGTTTCGCCCAGCACATGAGGTGGGGCCTTATGGCGACCTGGCCTCTTTGCCCACCGAGCTGCAGGACTCTCCGGTGCCATTCGCGCTTCTTGAAGCATTTGCTTGTTGAATGGTTTTCGGGGTTTTTGTTGGTTGATTGCTTGCCTGCTTGCTTGCCTGCTTGCTTGCCTGCTTGCTTGCCTGCTTGCGTGCGTGCTTGTGGCGTGCGTGCGTGCGTGCTTGCTTACTTGCTTGTTTTACTTGCTTGCTTACTTGCTTTGCTTGCTTGCTTGTTTTGCTTGCTTGCTTGCTTGCTTGCTTGCTTGCTTGCTTGCTTGCTTGCTTGCTCGCCTGCTTGCGTGCTTGCTTGCTTTGCTTGCTTGCTTTGCTTGCTTGCTTTGCTTGCCTGCTTGCTTGCCTGCTTGCTTGCCTGCTTGCTTGCCTGCTTGCTTGCCTGCTTGCTTGCCTGCTTGCTTGCCTGCTTGCTTGCCTGCTTGCTTGCCTGCTTGCTTGCCTGCTTGCTTGCCTGCTTGCTTGCCTGCTTGCTTGCCTGCTTGCTTGCCTGCTTGCGTGCGTGCTTGTGGCGTGCGTGCGTGCGTGCTTGTGGCGTGCGTGCGTGCGTGCTTGCTTGCTTGCTTTGCTTGCTTGCTTTGCTTGCTTGCCTGCTTGCTTGCCTGCTTGCTTGCCTGCTTGCTTGCCTGCTTGCTTGCCTGCTTGCTTGCCTGCTTGCTTGCCTGCTTGCTTGCCTGCTTGCTTGCCTGCTTGCTTGCCTGCTTGCTTGCTGCTTGCTTGCTGCTTGCTTGCGTGCTTGCGTGCGTGCTGTGGCGTGCGTGCGTGCGTGCTTGTGGCGTGCGTGCGTGCGTGCTTGCTTGCTTGCTTTGCTTGCTTGCTTTGCTTGCTTGCTTTGCTTGCTTGCCTGCTTGCTTGCCTGCTTGCTTGCCTGCTTGCTTGCCTGCTTGCTTGCCTGCTTGCTTGCCTGCTTGCGTGCGTGCTTGTGGCGTGCGTGCGTGCGTGCTTGTGGCGTGCGTGCGTGCGTGCTTGCTTGCTTGCTTTGCTTGCTTGCTTTGCTTGCTTGCTTTGCTTGCTTGCCTGCTTGCTTGCCTGCTTGCATAGCGCATAGCGCGCATGGCAGCGCATGGCAGCGCGCGCTGCCCAAGCTGCTTGTGGGCGATGCGTCGTCGTGCTTAACGCTTCTTTGCTTGCTTTGCTTGCTTGGCACGCGCCTGCTTGCTTGCCTGCTTGCTTTCCAGTCCCTTTGCCTGCTTCGCGCCTGCTCCCTCACGCCTGCTTCGCGTGCGTGCTTGTGGCGTGCTTGCTTGCCTGCCTGCTTGCTTGCTTGCCTGCCTGCCTGCTTGCTTGCTTGCTTCCCTGCCTGCTTGCTTGCTTGCCTGCCTGCCTGCCTGCTTGCCTGCCTGCCTGCTTGCCTGCCTGCTTGCTTGCCTGCCTGCCTGCTTGCTTGCTTGCCTGCTTGCTTGTCTGCCTGCCTGCCTGCTTGCTTGCTTGCCTGCTTGCCTGCTTGCTTGCTTGCTTGCCTGCCTGCCTGCTTGCTTGCCTGCCTGCCTGCTTGCTTGCCAGGTTGCTTGCTTGCCTGCGTGCTTGCCTGCCTGCCCTGCTTGCTTGCCTGCCTGCTTGCTTGCTTGCCTGCTTGCTTGCTTGCTTGCCGGCTTGCTTGTCTGCCTGCCTGCCTGCTTGCTTGCCTG